TCCCCTCCCCTCCCCTGCAGAAAGCCAGTGTGAAGCATGCGTGTATGAAGCATCTGTGTTCAGAGTTTCTGTATCTACCCTTTCGCCCTCCCCTGTTCACGTCGAGTGACCTTGTGCTCCAGGAGGACGGGGTTGAGCCCGCTGGGCCCTGCTCTCCTCGGGTGCTTTCTGATGCCGCCGATGCCGACTCTGGTAACCTCCGAGAAACAGTCCTTGATCCACTATCAACGCGGCCGTAGTTTCCTATCCAGGCTCATGGTTTTTTCCCCTGTTTTCTTTTTTCTTTCTTTTTTGGGGCTGGGGCTGTACATGATCAGCTTTTATTCTGTGTGTTCTCTGTGTTTCATTTCTTTAGAAAATCCCTTCAAGCCAATAGCCGTGATGATGAAAGCACTGGCAGCTCCCCTTGGCAGCCCCTTTCCCTTAGCTTTCGACACTTTTCTTTGGCAGAACTCACTTCGCTTTAGGGGGGTTGGAGCTTACCTGGAAGACAAGGAAGTCATTTCTCTGGCGATCCAGAGGGATGACCCACCCTCAGGGGGTCCTGGGCTCCAGTTTTCAGCTTAGTCATTTGACTTGAAGGATAAGGTAGTCCTGAGGGAAGGTAACTTTTATTCTGCCTTCGCCAACTTTGAAAACAGTGTGTTCTGTTTGTGTCCTGCTGTTCCTGGGAGCCGAATCATGTTTTAGTTGAAGTTCGTGTGGGTTAAAGCATATGATATAGCCATTTTTTGTGTGATGAAAAATGGTCAAATATTGGCAATATCATCTGAAGTAGCTTATAGCTTGCTTCTGTTAATGCTGAGCTTTGAAAAAGTATTCCAGATACTATGCTAAGTGATTTTAATGGAAAGCCAGTCCTAAGACTCCTGTTTCTCTTGCTTCCCAGGTTACTCTGCACCTGAATCCCATCTCCTCAGTCCACATTCACCACAAGCCTGTTGTGTTTCTGCTCAACTCCCCACAGCCCCTTGTCTGGCATCTGAAGACAGAGCGGCTTGCGATTGGCGTCTCCAGACTTTTTTTGGTAAGCGTTTGAAACCCTCGCCCAGAAATCCTTAGCACAAGGATATAATGACCCTGAAACTTTGCAAGACTTCTTCATTGAAGTGTGTTAAATGTGGAGTATGCTCTTAATAATATTTGGATGACAGATAAACATTTGCAGTAAACAAACACCACTCACATGCCTTCTTCTGTGGATGGTGAGTCCAGTCTAGTTTGCACATTAGAGCAGGACCTGAGATCATACTCTGTGTGGCCTGAGCTTTGGTCCCATCTCTGAGACCCCCCTCATGGCATCACGAGCGATGTAAATATTGTAAATAGCCACTAGGTGTGTGGTCTCTGACCACAAACTAAATACTCACAAACCCATTCTATTTGTATATATAACACGGGCCTTGTTTCTGATATGAGGATCTGTTTGTTGAGAAAGTGACACAGTGAGCTCCAAAATGAAAACATTTGTATTTTATAAAAAAAACTGGAACCCAGCTCTTGTGGAAAGATCCAAATATTACCTACTATTTGTAAATCATGTCCTTTTAAATTTGCCAGAACATTCAAGTTTGCTAGTTGTGGAGAAATTGATGGGTTGTTTGGATGGATTTTTGGGGTATGATATCATGTCTGCTGATGAGCAACACTGTACTTCACAGTGGTAGCTCGCATTGTCTGTTGCTAGAGCTACATGCTAGTGTCCTCAAGTGTAGAGCTTTAAGCTTTTATACGTCTCCTGCCCAGCATTCAAAATAAGAAGAGGCCTCAGTTAATAGTTTCTCTTGTATTATGGATAAATTTTTCCTAACTAATTACTCTTAATACAGATCTGTAGCTTCCTGTCACTTGTATTTGAAGAGTACTTTTAAAAACTCAGAGGTACCCATTAAATAAAGGAAGAATCTATAGTCATTGCAGTTGATAAGCAGATAAATAGATGAGTAAAACAAGTAGAAGGGAAAGATCCTCTTTATAGTGGAATACCCATCAATAAATGTAGAAGGAATGGTGGAGTTAGAAAACCATCATTTTTACCATCAGAGTAAGTCATTAATACATGCTGAATCTAGTGGAAGTGGAAGGAGTTTGTGGAGCAATATATATATTTGCATAGTCTCAAGTTACTTATTAATAACAAACAAAAAAACCCCCAGTAATTAAATGTGGTGGAGATACCCAGCAATAACCAAGGGATCAAAATTAATATCAACATGGTGCAGATGGGTGTAGTGTGCAATGTTTCCTCATATTTAGGTTCAATACTACACAAGAGATTATCCTTCTTAGGAAACATAATACACTTAAGTATTAAGTGGTAAAGGACCAGATAATTTAGAAAAACCTACAATGTGTAGGTAGAATAATAAAGCAAGTATGGCAACATGTTGAAAACTGGAGAAGCAGTTAAGGGTACGTAAGAGTTCTATGTAATGTACTTGCAATTTTGTAAATGTGACTTAATTACAAAATAAAAAAAATTTAGCTCAAAAGTTCATTTACAAGTAGGAGTTACTGATAACTTAAATTGTAGCCTTTTTGAGAGTTAAAACTCTCATCACTCCTAAATTTAAAAGGCCAAAAGTCAGAGTTGTTGTTGCTATTACAGTAAGCTCTTGGTATTACAGTAAGCCCTCTGATACTTTATCTCATTTAATTCTCATAATAATCCTATGATGATGTAGGTGTTTACCCCATTTTACAGATGCATTTGCAGATGAGGAACTAAGACTTAGAGAGATTAAGTAGGGACCTAAATCAAACAGCTAGAGCTGGGACTCAAACCCAGATAGGACTTTCTCTGTAAAATCTAATGGTAAATCAGCTTCCTTCATATTCATGGTCAATCTCCTGTAATTAAAGGTATTTGTGGTAGGAAGACTAATGGCCATGATCATAAGGTCACATTTAGGCCTTAGAATGCAGAACTGTGCTATCCATTATAGTAGGCACTGGCTGTATATGGCTATTTAAATTTAAACTAAAATCAGCAATACAGTTTCTAGGCACATGAGCCACATGTCAGGTGCTCAGTAGCTCCATGAAGCTAGGGGCTACCACACTGGGCCGGTAATGAAGAGGTTATGAGTAAAGGTTTTGCCTACCTTGGTTTGAATCCAAGCAGTAACCTGGGGCAACTTATTTAATTTTTCTAAGCCTGACTTTCCTCAGTAGTAATATAGGAATAATAATAATAGCCCACGCATCATGGGGTCACTATCTTGATTAGATGAGATTATGTATAAAATGTTTGGTACAGGGTTTGGCACCAATATAACTTCATAAACATTACCTGCCATTCTTGTTGCTATTTATTATTTGTCATAGTAAAGAACACTTGGGAAGGATGTTGAATTTACATTTGTAATTATGGAACATCTAGGTTAGCCAGCCCCATTCTGAAAGGAGTCCCTGGTTCTCTGGGCTGTAGGTCCAGATGAGAAGTGTGGGCTACATCTATCATAGTTGCACTGGTCACTTTCTGGATTCCTCCTGCCACTCTGTGGGTTTTGAGGGAAAGTATCTTACAACTAGTTATTATTTATCTGCTTTAATTTTATTTACGATCTATTAAGAACTGCCTCTTGGCCATCGGTTTAAAACACACTAACAATGGAAAAACAGGAGACAGTCTTAGTAAACAATTTAACATCAACCCTACTGGGAGTTAATCCCATGTAAGGAGATTGCAGATCAAGGGATGAACCTAAAATTACCAACATGGGAAAGGCAGCATTGGGAGAAGTCAAGGATTTAAATTCTCAGACAACTGAACTCTGACTTGTTGTCCAGCAGGCTTTCTTTAGGGAAGATGGTTTTCTCCCATCTGTACGTTTCTTCATGGCCTGGAAGAGATGGCGGAGCATCTGTTGTTCATTCAGGTTCTCAGATCAGCAGGCCACGAGTGATGCAAGTTCTGCCATAAACTAGGCAGCCCTCCCTGACTGAGAGTGAGGAAGGTGGGGCTCTTGTAGCTTGCAGGGAATTTCAGGGTCTGCTCACCCACTTGACAGCCACTGCAGCAGAGGGAGCACTGCTGGGTAGAGAGTCAGTGTGTGTTCTGTTTATAGTAGTTGAGTGAAAGTTTGGAGATAATGAAATTATGTTGCATACAGTGTTTCATCCAAAGGCATCAGAAGGCCCACAGAGTCTTTGGAAACTGTTTCCATCACTGTCCTCTCCAAGGTCAGAGACCTTAGAGGAGCTGAGGAGAGATGGTGGGTCCCTTGACTCTCGGTTTAAGATGCAGGTGCCCTCGCTTCCTCCCTGATGTGCTGCTGGAGGATCTGCGTTCCCGTCTCAAAGCTGTCTTTACTTTCTAGGTAGAATTACAATACTTTAACAATTGTTTTTTTCCTTTTTCTATTTTTGAGTAGTTGTGGTGAGAAAAATTCAAATAATGACATCTACTCATCCATCGGGGCGACCTTTTCATTTAAGTCGAGTGTCTGCATTATTGTAACTACCCAAATTAAAAAAGGAAACCTTTCGTAATTAGTTAGCAGGGCCTTGTGTTGCTCAGAATGTCTCAGCCACCCACGAGGGTGACTAAAAACATTATACAGCAGGTCCTCGAACAATGCTGTTTCGTTCAGCAGCGTCTTGTTATAAGTGTTGAAAAGGGAAAAACAGCCCATTCCCAGCCGGGGCCACTGTCTGTGTCGAGTTCGCACACTGCCCCCACGTCTGCGTGGGCCTTCTCCCGGGACTCTGATTTCCTCCCCCGTCCCCAAGATGCACCTGTTTGTTTCCTTGGCACGCCGGAGCGGTCTCAGTCTGAGTGAGGGTGCGCGTGGGTGTGGGCGGCCTGTGGTGGAAGCTCGTCCCGCCCAGGGTGGGCCCCCGCCGGGCACCTGCGCTGCCAGGAGAGGCTCTGCCACCCTCAGCCCTGATCAGGAACAGGCAGGCAGGAAAAGAAGTTTCTTATTGGTTTTTTTATTAATCTTTTTTTTTAAATCCTCACCTGAGGATATTTTTCCCATTGCTTTTCAGAGAGAGTGGAAGGAAAAGAAAGAAAGAGAGAGAGACACACACACATCAATGTGAGAGACACATTGATCGGTTGCCTCCCGCACACGCTCTTTCTGGGGCTGGGAATCGAGCCTGCAACCCAGGTACGTGCCCTTGACGGGAATTGCACCCGAGACTGCAGGCCGACGCTCTAACCACACCAGCTAGGCTGATCTTAAATGTATGTGTAGCCCACATTTATTTCAGTGGTGAATATTAAAAGTGTTTTGGGTCTTTAGTTAGAAGTTTGTTAGTGTTTATGTGACCAGAGATATACCATAGGAACTTAACTCTTGTTTATATCAATTAGCCTATGGTGAAATTGGTTTCATTATGCTTTTTTTTAAAAAAAAATATATCTTTATTGATTTCAGAGAGAGGAAAGGAGAGGGAGAGAGAGATAGAAACATCAATGAGGAGAGAGTCATTGATCGGCTGCCTCCCACATGCCCCCAGCTGGGGATGGAGCGCGTAACCCGGGCATGTGCCCTGACTGGGAATCGAACCCCGATTGCCTAGATCCTAGGTTGATGCTCAACTGCTGAGCCACACCCAGCCAGGCCATTATGCATTGTTTTGCCTAAAGTCACTGTTTTCAAGAACTTGTCATGACATTAAGTGAGGACTTGCTGTACTTTAATACTGTCTAATAAAACGTATCTTTTTTTCTGTCAAATCATTTGAGTCCTTCTCATGATTCCATGGTGCAGGCAGGAGGGAGTGTGCCAGGCAGGGAGAGAGTGGAATTGAGTTTCCTCTGCAAGTGTAGTTCCTTTATCTGGTTGTTCTGGTTACCTGGGAAGTGGGAGTGAGATGAAGTGGGATAGTTTCAGGCTGAGTCTCAAATAGTCTCTCTCTCTCTCTCTCTCTCTCTCTCTCTCTCTCTCTCTCTCACACACACACACACACACACACACACACACACACACGGTGAACTTGTCACAGCCTATAGTTTTCCTTTTTCTGGGCATTTGGATGGTCCAGAGAATATTGGGCAGGTTAGAGTTGTTCCTCAAT